GTCGGTGATGGTGATGAAACGGCATCGGGAGAGCTCTGTAATGACACAGTTGGCCTCTTGGAGAATGATGGAAAAGAACTGAAGCTGAAGAAGGGACACTTCTTGAGCCACACCAAAAATATCAGGACCGTCCGAAAAGAGAGCGTGGGTATTCCATATTAGTGATGTTACTGGCATGCTCCCGTGCGCTGGAAGCAATCGGGCCAGATCTTTCGATTCAGAATTTCTACATTTTTTTTTTTTTAAGAAAATCACTGAAAACTAACAACTTGTGACAAATTTGCATTATTGGCTTCATTGCATTCATCGTTGGACCGTCGCCGTAGTTCTTTTCGTTTGTTGGCAAACCAATTCGCAACAACTTGTGGTGATACCACTTCTTTTGGCATCAAACCAACGCCTATCAAATATCAGTAGCAATAAAATCTTTTTCTTAGTTGAACATCAAAATAGGTCAACAAATAAGGAGCATACGCTGACAGCTAAAAGACTCTTTACTTAAAAAGCAAAAAAGTGTATAAATGGATTAATAAAAAGAGAGCCATCTTATGAAGTGTCGAATACCACCTTCGCAGAAGAAAACAAATTAGCAGTGACACCAACGGTCAATGCAGAGGCAAATGCTAAGTATTAACAAACTACAGCATATTAGCAACGACGTTCTGTATGAATGAAATAATACAGCAAACACATGCTAGAAAAAGAATTTGCTTCAGTCATGTGGCAGTGATGACAGACAACAGATGAACGGAACGAATAATCGACTGGTACCCACGACACATCAAAAGTCGGAAGACTACCAGTGTACTGGGTCGATCCGCCAGCTCGGATGTATGGTGTACCGCGGATGCAGAGAGCCCAAGATTGAAGCTGATCGTATGGTTACTGGCTACGCCACAGGAGAAGTTTAGGTATTCAAGTACAATGAAAAAGAAAGTGAAAAAAATTTTTTTAAAACTTTTGCAGTACCTTTTTTATCAATCTGCAGCGCTTGGTTGCAAGCAGTGGCAATTTCGATTCGCCGATTCAAATCCGGGAATGGTGTCTGGGCAAAGAATCCTTCCAGGATTCGGATTAGAATCGGACGAAACACATACCGCTCACGACGCTGAGGAATCAGCTCGCCATCACCATTTGTTTCCAAACGAGTGGATGGATCAGCAAGGAATGACGCTATAACAACAAGATTAATCCGAACAATCACATAAAAGAGGTGTAGCAAATCAGAAGCAGATTGCGGTAAAGCCAAGTCCCTTCTTGTTTTGAATTGGTTCCGGATTTCAGGCAAAGATCAGTAGCTGATACTTGTTTCTTGGGAACCAGTTGCATCCATGTGACATTCGACCTCAATGGGAAGAACACTGTGGGCATCCCATGTCAGTAGTGTTATTAGGGATTTATTTCGAATGCCTGAAATCTTGAAAAATGTTTTTTAGACTTACAGAGCTTTTCCGGATGTCGCCTGCAATTCAAGTACCATGAATAGATATTTTTGCGGCAACGCAACGACAATTCACGGTGATTGCCGTTGAGCAGCTTTGATATGTATGGCTGCGAAACGCCTGAAAATTTCATTATCAAATAAAGCTGCTGCTGCTGGTTGAACGTATTCAGTAAACCAAAATTGAGTTGGCAGAGAACGGTCAAGCGGTCACTAAGATTACTAGTAGGTTGGACACTAAATACTGTAGCTTAACTTTGGAAGGAAT